ATCCAGCCCAGCGATGTTCCTCTCGGCCAGAAGCAGGACCTTGGCCGAGCACGGCCCGTCCGAGGCTGAGCTGCCGGCGGGGAAAAAGGGTCTCCGCTTCAGCCACGGCGTGGGCGGCCGCCGAGGCCAGGAGGGAGGAGGACGTCTGCGGGCCGCGGAAAGGAGTCCGGGCACGGCGTCCCCGTCCCCCCCTGACCCCCCTGCTCTCCCCCCCCCGCCAGGTGGAGTCGGAGTCCAACGTGCTGCGGGACGGCTCGCTGATCGACCTGTGCGGCGCCACCCTGCTCTGGCGCACCTCCGGGGGACTGCTGCGCACCCCGACGCTGCAGCAGCTGGAGGCCCTGCGGCAGGAGGTCAACGCCGCCCGCCCCCAGTGCCCCGTGGGCTTCGGCACGCTGGCCTTCCCCAGCCTGGCGCAGCGGGGCGTGGTGGAGAAGCAGCAGCCCTGGGCCTACCTGCACTGCGGCCACGTGCACGGCTTCCACACCTGGGGCTGCCGCAAGGAGAAGGGCGGCCTGGAGCGGGAGTGCCCCCTGTGCCGGCGCGCGGGCCCCTACGTGCCCCTGTGGCTGGGCTGCGAGGCCGCGCTCTACCTGGACGCCGGGCGCCCCACACACGCCTTCTGCCCCTGCGGCCACGTCTGCTCCGCCAAGACGGTGCAGTACTGGGCGCAGATCCCGCTGCCCCACGGCACCCACGCCTTCCACGCCGCCTGCCCCTTCTGCGGCACGTGGCTGGCGGGCCGGCAGGGCTTCGTGCGCCTCATTTTCCAGGGGCCGCTCGACTGAGCCGGGGAGGGGGGTGGGCGGGGAGGGACGGGAGACGGCAAATAAACGGCAACATCGGAGCCGCCTCGGCCCGCTTCTGGGGACTGGTGTCTGTGTGCTTTTCTGAAACCGCCTGCGCGCGCCCCCCCCCCTCGGTCCCGGGGTGTCTGGGTGCCCCGGAGGGAGGCGGGGGGCGGGCCGCCTCGCCAGGGAGGGGCTTGGAGGCCCCCAAATACGCCGCTCCGGGCAGCTGGCCTCTTGGGCATCCCTTCCACGCACAAAATGGGTCGGTAACTTATACTGTCAGCCCCAGATTTGGGGGCTAGCAAAGTGCCCTCATTGAGCCCCTTCCGTGTGCAAGACCCTCCTCTCCGTTATTATCTCACGGCTCCCGGGATGCCACAGACACCAGTGGAACGGTGGCCATCTCCCGTGGGACCTTCCGCGATTCATCCCCTCCCGGCTCCTTTCCTGTGTTAAGATTTTTGAAGACTGGTTATGAACCCGGATGTTGGCACGCCCTCCAACGCCGCTAGGTTGGATTCAGAAGAGCGAGTTTGCGCTCGTTTCTTGGGCCGGCTGCTTTTCACTTCACCAAAGGAGCTCCGTGGTTGGCCAGGCCCCCATCGAACAAGCCACCTCCAGTGGCAGCCATTTTGTGAGTGTGCCTACGAGATGCCCACCAACCCACAGATGGAGTGCACCTACTCGTCCCTTCCAGGGGCCCAATCCGCGCCACTGCCAAGTAGAAGGGAGCGAAGCGAACGCAGACCCCAACAGCGGCCCTGCTTCGGTTTGCAGCAGCTCATCTTCCAGTCTATGGATCGCTTTTAAGACCCAGCCACCAGCGACTGCAAGAGACGCACGGGGAGGGGGGGGCAGCCAAGGGGCAGAGCACCTGCTCGACGTGCCAAGGGCCTTTCAAGCACCTGGATTCATGGATTTGCCCTGCAGCTCAAGGCGAGCGAAATTCAGCCCTGCAAGCTTCTGCGCTGGTCGTCACGGAGCCAAGCGGTGCAAAGAGAAACGGTCCCGGGGCCAGCCGCCGCAGAGGTCCACAGAGGGGCGCAATCCGTCCCCCTGCAGACTTTTAAAAGACAACATGCTCAACTTTTTAAAATGATCGGGGTGCTTAAGGGGGGGGGGGCAGAGAAAATTTAGGAGGACGCCGCCAACCTCTACCTACGGGCCCGGGTGGGGCTATAGCAAGCCGGAGGCGGCGCAAACTCAGGAGCAAGCGCGCAGCGCTCGGGGGGGCGCACCGGGCTGCCTAAAAGGACCCCAGCCAGGATCGGCGGGCGGGCCTTCGGTCTCCCAGCAACGCAGACGTCAGTCTCTGCAAGCGGAGCCTGGATTGGCGGGCTGAGGCGCGGGAGGCGTGGCGGGTGTTTGAAGCGATAAATGGGAGAGGCGGGGCCAAGCTGCAAGTTGGCAGGTGCGAGCGAGGTGGAGGCAGGTGAGGGCGACCGGCAACGTGGGGGGGGGGGGCTACGTTTTGGGGGGGGGGGCGTGTGTCGGGGAGAGCACGTGGGTTGCAGGAGCCAGGGAGCCCAGACAGCCCACCTCGCCCAATATTTCCCCTCCTCATTCTCTGAATACAGGATCTGGGGGTGGGGGTCCTTCCCTCTGGGAGGTGAGGCGAGCGAGGCTGCAGCCCGGGGGTCTGGGTTCAATTTTCCACCAGGCATTTCCGGCTAAAAACCGACTCCTCCACACCTGGGAAAGCGCTGCTTGGGAGGGCGAGCCAGTCGGAGCCGACTGGACCAAAGACCCTGTGCAGCTTGTGGCCCAGTCTGTGTCCCAGGGCAGGGCCGTCTCAGTGCGTGGGCCTGGTGGGCGCTTGCCCGTGGGCCCCACACTAACCTGTGTATGTTAACCCTTGGAAAATGGGAAAACTGCCAAAAGTAACAGCAGTTGTAGTTGTCCTAGGGGCCCAGTACACTGCTTTGCCCGGGGCCCATCATGCTGTCCCAGGGTCCTTCCCTACTTGCCAAGGATGATGAGAGCTGTAGGACATCTGGATAGAACCTCTGTCTCATCACTCGGGATCTCAGGTAGGGTCCTGGGTGGCCTCATACCTCATTTAGGGCTGACGGGTGTGTGTGTGTGTGGAGAGGGCTCCTTCTGTCCCAGAAGGGGAACAAGAGCTTTGACACTTCTTAAAAATACACACCCAAATGCATGCACCCCCAGTAAAAGAGAGGAGGGATGTGAACTGAATCTCATGGAGAAAAGATGCTCAAATGGTTTTACAGGGTTGCTCCTATTGTTAATACCGAGTTGTCCTTAATTGCATTTGTGGGTTGTGCATTTCCTTGGAAGCGTTCCTGTCCTGTCTGGTAGGTGAAAACTATTATAAGCAAATAAGTAAATAATATCAGTGTGACACCACACTTCCTTCTGCAGGCTGTGGGATTCCTTGGAAGGGTGTGTCAGAGAGCAGGGATTCCCACGCATGTTGGCATGGGAGTCCCCCAAGTTTCAGTGAGGAGTTGCGTTAAGGGTGACCCCCAAAAGTAGGTGGCCGGTCCTGCCTTCAGCCTCTCCCAAACTCTAACCCAGCCCTCCCCAATCTTGTGCCCTCCAGAGGATTTGAACTACAGCTCCCATAAGCCTCAAACTGCAGGGCCAGCAGGCAGGAGTCCTGGGAATTGTCATCTAAACCCTCTGTGGTGGGTTATAGGTTACACTGTAAGCTGTTTGGGGCAGGGACCTAGTCTCTTACACCCCATAAAGTGGCAGGCACTGGCTGGACATTTTGTGCAGGGTTAGAAGAAGAGACGTTGGAACTCTGCTGATTTTCTCCTAGGTGCTCTCCGGCCTTCATGAGCCCATCTGGGAAATGCTGTTGTTTCTGTTCACAAGCCTGTTCGAGGGTCCGTAACCCATTTGTCTGTGCTCCTGTGGAACTCTTGGCCACCTAGTCAATGCCTTGCACTCGTGGGCTTGTTCCTCTGCATCTTGGGAAGGCCACGGAGGCTGCAGGGTTGTTTTAGGGCCAGGATGGGAAAGTTTAAGCCTCTGGATCAAAGATGGGCGGAAGGTAACCTCCTGCTTTTGCTTCCAGGAGTCCCTGGCAGGGTGGTCAAAATATTGGGCACGGAAGCCCCAAACATCTCTTTCTTTGCCCTGTAGCTACTGCTGCTGCTCTCAGGCATGCTAGCTGGGGCTGATGGGTGCTGTAATCCACGACATTTTACAGACTGTAGGCTCCCCACTCTTGTTTCTATTCACTCCATTCATTAGTTAGTTTTTTTTAACGGCCGTAACTCCAAATCATTTGTAGCCACCTCTTGGCATGTTTACATCAAGGTCAGACTCACTGAAGTCTCGGGACTTTCGCATTGCAACTGTTTCATCTTTCCCAAAGTTGTATAATAACAGCACTTTGCTTTTTAAAAATAGCCCTTGCCAAATGACTTGAGACGTAATCCTATACCAGTGGCTGGGGAACATGGGCGGGGGGGTTTGTCGCCGCGCGTGGGTTGCCCGTGGACAGCTGTCGGCCACCGTGTGGAGAATTTGGACCCGAGCTCTGATCTGCAAGGTTCTCGCAACAGGCTTGTCTTTCGTGCATGCTCAGTCCTACAACTCCCAGCATCCCCCAGCTGGAGTTGCAGGGGGCGTGTCCTCCTGCGTGAAGTCATGAGTGGGGAAAGGAAGGGGGCGTGGCAGGAAACTGCATGTTGCACGAGGGGGGGGCAGGTGAGGAAGTGCCAGCGATCATATCCAGGTGGGTTTGCGACTGATGGTGTGTGTGCCCGTGGCAGGTGGGCTGCAGGTTCTCCCGGGCGGTGTGTGTGCTGCGGAAGATGGGGTGGATTGTAGGTGGAGGGTGCCCGCCTGTGTGTCTCTGTCCAGACTGCGGCGGGAGAACACACAGGCCAGGAACTAACAAGATTTGCTGAAAGTGTTTGAGCAGAGCTGGTGGTCAGACTGAAACTAAGTCCCATCATCCTGCAATGGGCAACAGGCAGGTCGGGATCTATTCTTAAAGTCTTGGCTTAAGTTCAGTGCAGGTTTCTGACTCGCAGTGTTTTAGCTGCAAAAAAATTATTCCTTCCAGCCCAAACTGGGCTGCTGAGTTGTTGGGTAACCAAAAGGAAACCTGCTAAGTTTTGGTTTTTAGTGTTTGCTTGTGGGGGGGGGAGGGGTCAGCTTTTTAATTCTCAGCACCGTCTTTTTCGCACCGGTTTGCTGGAACTGGCAGTTCGGTGCTGCTTTTTCCTTCCAGATGTTTTGGACTTCAGTTCCTATCAGCCCCAGGCAGCAATGGGCTAGTTGGAGAGTCAGAGTCCAAAAGAACATCTGGTGAGCACAGCTCGGAGGACCGAGAGAAAACTGATCAGACAAGCTTGCTAGATATAAACTATGTAGGGCTGCAGAATTATATGTGCAACAAAACAAAAACACAATTTTAAATTCGATATAAGAAAACTGAAACATTTTATAGGAAGCCGGATGAGGCTGCTGGCTGGTGAATGAGTAGCAGTTTTCCTGGATTTGTCTTCTGCTTGCTTTTTCTCAGTAGCCCCTGGGCTGAGCTGGATTTGAGGGTATGTTCAGTGTAAGAAGAGCATTTTTACCCAGCACTCTTACTGTATTCCGGCTTCCATGAAGGGATTGTACTGCATCCCACCTGCATCCTGAACCTTTCCTCTTTCCTTTTCCTTGGAATCCTGGTTTTAATTGCAGCTAAGGGCATGGCTTATCGCGACCCAGTTGCACATAAAAACCAGCCAGGTTTTCTTTTCTTTTGAAATCCTGGGTTGTCATGGACGAGAGAACGTGCTAGTTCACGTGGCTTGTCATGGACGAGAGAACGTGCTAGTTCACGTGGCTTGATTCATCTGCCGCTAGTGAAGCGATCCAGGGATGACCTTCTTCCCTTATCAGGAATACAGGCATAGATAACATGTCCTTGGCTCTGGACAAGCGTCTTTGGATTAAAGTGCAGGGCCTTCAAAGCCAAACTTGGATAGCGTTTTCTCCTTTGGAGGCCTCTGAATCCCAGGAGGCCCAAGTGGCTGTGCCCAGAAATCCCCCCCTCCTTTTTTCCAGCTCCAATTTGGCAGGATGGCGGATTCCGAGTATGTTCTGCCCAACGACGTCGGCATCGCGACGCTGGACTGCGCGGAAGCCTTCCGGCTGTTGTCACCGGAGGAGAAACGCTACGCTCACTACCTCTCGCGGGCCTGCTGGTACGGGGGGCTCGTGGTCCTGCTGCAGACCTCACCGGAAGCACCTGCCATCTACACCCTCATCTCCAGGCTCTTCCGCGCCCAGGACCCCTCCCTGCTGGGGGAGCGGGCTCGCGCCATCGGGCTGTCGGACGAAGAGTATCAGGTACCGGGAAGCCCCCGGGGGCCCGACTGGGTCCGTGTTTGAGGACGCTCCCTCTTGCACCTGGGATCAAGTCGCGATTCACAGGGCAGGAGGAGGGCCTGTCTTAAGGTCGCTGTCTCTCGCAGGCATTCCTGGTCTACGCCGCGGCCATCTATGCCAACATGGGGAACTACAAGTCCTTTGGTGACACCAAGTTCGTGCCCAACCTTCCGAAGGTGAGCAGAGGAGGACGGCCTCCCGCAGGTGTCCTGCAAGGGGATGCTCGCAGGTGGGAAAGGCCTTCAGCCAGTCGGGGCCTTCCTTGATCCTCGTTGGCTGAGGCCCTGGGAGACGGGGCGAAGCCTCTGCCACAGGTGGGCCAGGGCGCCGCCTGATCCCCCTCCCGCTGCTGATCGCCCTTCTTGCCCCCAGGAGAAGCTGAAGCAGCTGGTGTGGGCGAGCCAGGCCTTCGCAGAGCACCCAGACAAGATGCAGGAGCTGTGGGACCGCTGTGGGGAGCGCATGTTCTCCCTGGAGCCCTTGCAAAGGCACCTGGGGCTCAGGGGTGAGGTATGTCCCCCCAGCTAGCCATCCCCCCCCCCGCCGTGCAAATGGAACCTGGCTCTGAAGGGCAGCCTCTGACCCTGTTTTCTGCTCTCCCCCAGGGCATCTCCACCTATTTCTCCGCCAATTGTGGCATGGAAGATGCGAAGCAAGCTCAGGATTTCCTTGACTCCCAGGTGAAGCAAGAACTCTCCTGCCACTCTGGGTTGGCCTGTACCATGTGACAGGGCACTTCAAGGAGCTTAGCAGGGGCTGCTGGGTTTCAGGGAATAGGATGTGGGGGGAATCTCTCGGGGTGCCTCAAGGCAGCGTGGGGGAACACAGCGCCTCGGGTAGGGAGGGAGTTCTGCAGCTCTCATGTAACAAGAAGCAGGTGATTGCGTGGACCCTCTTCTGCCTGGGACCCGGCGAGCCATTCCCAGCCGGAACGGTGGTCCCTGGTCTCCACAACCGCTCTCTGGTCCTCGACTCCAACCCTTTTCCTTAAATCATTCTCCAGAACATCAGCGCCTACAACACGAGGCTTTTTAAGACGGAGGTCAACGGCAAAATGAGCTACGAGGTACGCCTGGCTTCGGTGCTTGTAGACGGTAAGAGCTTGGGCTCTTGAGCCCTACTTAAAGTATGTTTTAAAATACTATGTTGTCATTTTCTTGACATGACTAACTTATGTTTTGATGGCATCTCTTTATATTAAAAAATTTTAAAGGTCCTTAAAGTTGGTGACTTAAGAGCTCTTCTAGGCAACCAGGTTGTGGAAAAGAATGATCAAAGGTTGATTTATTTTTTATTGTGGGTTTCAGAAACCAAAACAAATATAAAAACAGAGAAATAAAAGAGTGCTGCAGTTTTCTTAAATGAAATTGAGTGACTGTATTCCAGTGAATTTATATATGTACCCCAATATTTTATGTATAGTAAAATATACCATGATTCTTAGGGATTGTCGTGTATCTACTCCAGGAAAGGTAGCCCAGATATCCATACATTTATCCATTTGTAGATTATTTTTACAGACCAGTGAATTTAAGTGAGTTTGCTTGGGTCATTACCTGGACTAGAGATCACCTGTAAATGCCCCCACACCTGTCTTCACATACAGCACCTTGAAATATTTTTATGCTGCTGCTCAGCCAAAAGAGCTTTGAAAAGGGGCTTACACATTTAGTAATATAAGACAAGTCCCTGCTTGCCAGCTTACAATTGAAGAAGACACAGCATGCAAGGAAAAACAAATGAGGAGGGAAGAGGAAAGAGCAGCCTTTCAGAAGGGCTGGTGGAATGGCCCCACTTTTCCTTTGATACAGGAGGGAAGAGAGGCAAGAAATGAGACATTTCTGTGATAAGACAAGCTCAGATGCCTCCAGCCGTCACCCAGAGTCGTTCACCCAGTCTCCACGTACCCTTCACTGCATGTTTCTTTTTTTATTTCCAACTTTTCTCTGTAATGCAGTTCAGTAGAAATGCTACCGAGGCCTACATCTTATTTTCACAGTCTGCAGTTTTCACCTCTGCCTCCTTTTTCGCCCAGATTCCCAACTGGACACCGAGATGACGTCCAAGGTGAAATGCTTCCCGTTTGGCAGCTGCGTCTTCACGGTGACGCTCGGCGATTATTCCCCGCTCCTTCAGCGAGTCGTGGAGAACTTGCAGAAAGCCCAGGTGAGCCAGGGCGTGTGTGCGTTTCGGACTCCCTTCCCTTGTTGGCTGCCATCTCTCACCGTTCCTTTATCCCTGCTGGAGGTGGCCGGCGGAGGCAGGAATAGATTCCCCAGCATGGATTAATTCCAAGAAGTAACCTGGGAGCGGGGCTGGCAACCCAGGAGTGGGGGGGTTTTGCTGGTAACTGCATCTCTCTGAACACGGGGGAGCAAGGCCCAGGGCCTTCTGTGGTTCCCCTTGACACCTGCCCCCCCCCCCCTTTTTCTCCTCCCCCTCCCCCCTCCCGGCGTAGGGGTCTATTTCTTGTCTCACGCGCCCCCCCCCCCCCCCCCATTTTAAAGCTTGAAATGCTTTCAGAAGACTAAATGAGATTTCAGTTCAAGTGGCGGCCAGGATACAGCTGCTAGGAGCCTGTCAGGATGAGACTTTGGTCCTCAGAGTGGAAAAGGCTTCAAGCCCGCTTTTGTAGTCCGATCTGGCCCTGAGACTTCAGCAGGACTCTTCTCCTTGGTCCTGAGGGCTAGAGGCATAGTCTCGCTCTTAGGCAACGGGGCCAGCCTTTGGAGTGCTTCTGTTCTTCGCTTTCTTGCTGCTTTCCTTGCGAAACGGCTTCATGGTGCAGGGGCCAGAACGGGGGGCCGGCCGGGTCAGTTTCAGAGGGCATGGCCTGATTCTGGACTCTTTCTTCCCCTGCCAGCAACACGCCGCCAACCCCATCCAGGCAGAAATGCTGGCCCACTACATCAACAGTTTCATGCAGGGCTCCATCACGGCCCACAAGGAGGGCTCCCGCTGCTGGATCCGCGACAAGGGGCCCATCGTGGAGAGGTGGGCTGCGCCAATCCGTTGCTTCGTTCATGCGCCTTGGCAGGATCCTTTGAGAGGCTTCTGCGGCCATGTGTGGTTGGAGGCAGAGGACTGGGGAGGTGCTGAAACCTCAGAGTGACCCTGCCACATCAGACCAAGAACCGGCTGAGCCCAGCGTTCTGTCTGCACAGGGCTCTGCCATGGGAAGGGCATCCTGTTGCCCATGTTCCCCAGCACCTTGTGTCCAACAGCACTCTGCCTCTGATGCTGGAGGTGGCATGTGGTCATGAGGACTAGGAACCATGAAGAGGCTTCCTGCAGTAATTTGCCCACTCCCTATGCAAAGCCCTCCATATGGGTGTCCATCAATCACAGAAACATTATTTTTATCCTGCGTTTTGCATGTGTATGGAGCCAAAATGATGTTTAGCCACACGGAAAACTCTGTTTTTCATGTTCGCAGCTACATTGGTTTCATTGAGAGCTACCGAGATCCCTACGGTTCCCGGGGGGAATTTGAAGGTACTATTCTGTCTTTGCTATCATGAATTTTAGATCTGGGCTGCCTCTGACCTTCGTGGGGAAGGGAAGGCCAGACATCTTCAAGCAAAGCAAGATTCTTGGCTTTCCCCAGACGAGAAATGCTGCCCCGTCTAGGGATGCATTTTAAACCCAGCCCCAAATCCTTGATGTGAGTTTGTCCCAAATAAGATTTCATGGGCTCAAGCTATAAGAAAGTAAGACCATCAAGTGGGACGGAGGGAACGGGAAATGTTTGTGCCGGCACCGTTGGTCCCCTGGCTTGTTCTGCAGCGACGCGTCTCGCCTTTTCAGGGTTCGTGGCCGTCGTGAACAAGGCCATGAGTGCCAAGTTCGCTCGGCTGGTGGCTGCTGCGGAACGGCTGCTGGAGGAGCTTCCTTGGCCACGCGCCTTCGAGAAGGACACGTTCCTCAAGCCCGACTTCACCTCGCTCGACGTGCTGACCTTCGCCGGGAGCGGCATTCCCGCCGGCATCAACATCCCGAATTGTAAGGCCTGGGTTCGCCTCTCCCGTGGCCAGGCGTCCCCTTTCCCAGAGGGTCTCCTGGCAAGTTGCAGCTCTTGTTTTAGCACAATGCCACCTTTGAATCAGGGACTGCCCGTTGTTGGCCCCTCTTTTCTTTTTTTTAAGGCAGGGAAAGAAGTAGCTTTAGAGATAGCAAACTTCTGGAACCTGGAGTGTTTGTTTCAGCTTCTGCTAGAAACTTATCAAGCCGCCCTGGAGCCCTCCGGTTCTGTTGGACTATAGCCCCTTTCATTCCCAGCCTGCATTGGCCACCCGCCAGTTGGTTGGCGTGGCAAGCTCTGGGGTATCTAGGGTGCTTACAAAGAACGCCTCTGAGCATGTGCAGAATATGCTCTTGTTGCTGGGGAATGAAGGGCCACAGGAATTCTCATGGCAGCTGGCTGGTTTCCCTGTGGTGTCTCGTTCAGGCACGGATGGCTTCTCAAAATCATATCTCACCATTTTTTTCCTTCCAAGGAACTCAAGGCGGCTTAATTCTCCTCAATGTTACCCTCACAACAACCCTGTGAGGTAGGCTGGGTGTGAGGCAGCGAGTGGCCCGAAATTGCCCAGGGAGCTCCAGGACTGAGCAGGGACTTGAACCCAGCTCTCCTGAGTCCCAGCCTTGCTGGCTGAGCCGCTCCGTTAGATTTACGCAACACCGCAGCATCTTTCGCAGAAAGCTCTCGTTTGTTTGAATTTAAAAAATGGCTGTGCAGAGATCCGCAGCGGTCAGTGGCTGATTCGTCGAGAGGTTGGGGGGTGGCGGCCGGGCGAATACCTGCCTCATCCTGGGGGACCCCACAGAATCCAGTTCGCAGGTCTTTGTCTGCCTCTTCCCCTTCCAGACGATGACATCCGCCAGTCTGACGGCTTCAAGAACGTCTCGCTGGGAAACGTCCTGGCCGTGGCCTATTCCACGCAGAAGGAGAAGTTGACATTCCTCGCGGAAGAGGACAAAGTAACTCCTTCATTCCACAAAGCCCTTTCCGGAGCTAACAAAAGCCACGGTTTTCTTGTTTTTGTTCCTAACTCTGTTACTTGTATTTTATCTTTTGTTTGTTTGCATTTGTTCTATCTTTTTATTGTTGCTTACTCCAGAATCTCGATACTAGATAATGAAACAGATAAATGTAACCATCGTGGATTTAAATATGGGCTTCTGCTGTTGCTTGTCTCCTGCTCCTTGGATAACTTCACTGGTGCTTTTCTGTTCTGAGTTTTGTAAACCCAACAAGATACATCTGGGCAGGGCAGGGGGTTGAATAAAAAGAATCTAATTTCTAAATTAACACTCCTCTGGATAGCACAAGTCGTAGACCTCCAGGCAGGGAGACCTTGGCACCAGATTCCTTGAGCGGACCCACAAATTTTGGATGGGGGATAAACACAGAAGCGTTCCTGCATCAGAATACAACAAGTGCTTTTTACCTCTTGCAGGATCTTTATATCAAGTGGAAGGGCCCATCCTTCGAGGTTCAAGTTGGCCTCCATGAACTCCTGGGTCACGGCAGCGGAAAGCTTTTTGTCCAGGTGAGGCTTCTGAGCAGGACAAAAGGTTTTGGCTCGCTTGCTTTGTTTGCTTAGGAGCAGGAATATGCCAGGTTTGTGCAACGGCCACAAACGGCCGTGCTTTCGCAAACCTTTTTGCCTCTTCTGATCTAGGCTGCCCAAACCTTCTGGGGCCGGAGCACTACATTTTCTGAATTGTATTTCCATACAGAGATTTAGAAATACTCTAATGATGACCATTTCAGGTTGTGCACTAAATCTTGTCTGATTCACCTCAAATACAATCCGTGCTTGTATTCCTTGCACGTCTCCCAGGTCATCCCAAATCAGCAGTTCATCTGCAATGTCGCACCAGGACCGGCATGGCCATTTTGTGTGTGTGTGTGTACATCCCTAACCCTTTCTAAATTGTCTTGTGATAATCAAGTCCTCTGAAAGGTCATGACTCCGTCTGCTGAGGAAGCCGGCCGTGCGGGGAGCACAATTCTTTGCTACGAGGTTATGAAGTTCTCTTGCTGTCACTCTTCTATGGCAGGATGATTTGGGAGCGTTCAACTTCGACCGGGAGGCAGTAATCAACCCAGAGACGGGAGAGCAGGTGAGCGCCGGCTCTGGGGTTGTGGTTGTTCAGTGAATTCTTAGAAACCTCCGGGACATCTTTCTTTCTCTCATCTACCAGACGACATTCTCTTCTCTCATCCTGGCACAGCCATATTAGCAGTTTTATAATAAGTTTTACTCAAAATTATAACCCCTACAAAAAAGAAAAACTAAAAACAACATCAATCATCAGAAACATTGGACCTGTCGGGTCAGCCCCCACATTTTTTTCCATTTGTGATGACTTAAAAACATATTTAAATCTATACGAAGTCCCATTGCTCTAGCCAATGATAAAAAGAGTCCCAAGTTTGATAGAAATCAGTATCTTCTTTCTTCTTCAGTGACGAAGTCCAGTTTTCCCAAGGTCTGAGCTAATGCTCTAACCACTGCAACACACTGCCTCACTTATTGGCCTCTTTCCATACCTGACCAATGGGACCTTGTCAGACCCAGCATACATTTCTGTCCCCTGCAGATTCGGAGCTGGTACCGAGGTGGGGAAACCTGGGACAGCAAGTTCTCGAGCGTCGCATCCAGTTACGAGGAGTGTCGTGCGGAGTGTGTGGGCCTTTACCTCTGTCTGAACAAGGAGGTGCTGGAGTGAGTGTCTGAGTTACATAAGGGTGTACAGATTTTGTGAAATCTGAGTTACGTGATGGGCAGGCATCTTTCAGTCTGCTCACTGATGGAATCAAATGTCTTTTTCGGGATATGGAAGAATTTAATTCCTCTCGTTCTAATGCCCATTAGCCAAAGTTCAGGTATGTGCAAATTGCAAAAAACTGAAAAACAAGTTTGCAGAATCTAGTCCATCGCATAGCTAGAGCTGCTTAAAATGGTGGAGGGGTGAAGTTTCCTGAAGGGTAGCAAAGGCCACATCATTTGAGCATCACTGTTGCCGATTCTTATTTATTTATTCATCAAAAGTTTTTCTTCCCCATCTGCCACTAGCGTCTCGGGATGCCTTCTTGAGCACCGACACAGTTCAGGGGCTAGATAAATTTGGGGGTTTGAATGTATAGGTTGTATTTGTTTAGAATTCAGCTTTGTTCATTGGAGTTTGCTTTGCCTGTATTAGTTTGTTTTGTTTCATATTTATTATGTACTTGTTTTAAGTTAAGGAAGTCAAATTTAAAAAAAAGAAAAATACCACTTCCGAGTCAGGTTTGGCTGCAGGCTCACTGCTTCATGGGAAGTCACTCGCCCTTCCTCCAGCCTCAGTTTTCCCCATCTGTAAAATGGGAGTAATGCACTCACAGCATTCCTTGAACCCCCAGGCTGGGAGTGTCGAACCTTTGTGCTTCTGTATGCATCCGATTGCACCCTAAATTGTTTTTCGGTGTGTTCATGGCTGCTCTGGTCTTCTTCCTTCCCCTCTCAACAGGATCTTTGAATTAAAAGGAGATGATGCAGAGGATGTGATTTATATTAACTGGCTGAACATGGTGCGGGCCGGGCTGCTTGCCCTGGAATTCTACACCCCGGAATCTGCATCATGGAGGCAGGTGAGGGGCCAGTGCAAATCTAGAGGCGTTTCCCCCAAAAGCATGGTGGACTTTTATTCTTCCCATACTGCTTGATGTGGGTTTGGGTAAGGCTCTGGCTCCGATGAGGGAGGCTTTGGGCTTGGATCTGCAATGGCCTGTGGGCAGACTAACCTCAGTCACTCCCAAGAGAACCAGAGCGCTGGACTTGGCAGGGTTCTAGTCCTCATGTGGCCAGGAAGCAGCACCCACCTTGCATCATCTCCTGCCCTTCCGTCTTCCCACATCAGGCTCACATGCAGGCCCGCTTTGTCATTTTGCGAGTCCTCCTGGAAGCGGGCGGGGGGCTGGTGTCCCTGCGCCACACCACGGGAGCCGACGGCAGACCCAACGCCGTCGTGTCGCTGGACCGCAGCAAGATCGCCACCGTGGGGAAGCCTGCTCTGGAACGCTTCCTCCGCAAGCTGCAGGTAAGGGCAGGCGAGGAAGGGACGGGTGTCCTTCTGTCCTTCCCTCTTTCCACAAATGCCCCCACCCACGATTAGAAAGGAACGCCATTCCTTGGGCCAGGGGGTGTAAAGATGTCTTCCCTTTCTCCATCACAGTAACATTTCAGAAGCAAGACAGTCTGAAAACACTGAACTTCAGCAGGCTGAACTGCACATTCCGCCGATTTTTTCTGTTCTTTAGTCGGCGGATCTATTTAAATCTTGCAACCCTCTGGGTAGCCAGTGCTGCTCAGCACGGTCCAGAAAAATCCAGGCACGTCGCAAAAACTCTGGGAAGCCCCCAAGAGGAAAGAGAGAGCTTAAAATTAGAGACACGTGCCAAGGGGCTTCATAAGCTGCGTGTTCATACGGCGGGGAGTTGCTGCATCGCTCGGGGTGAAGAGGAGGGGGTGGGTTAGCAGAGCCCGATCACGGGGAAAGGGTTTGGGGTGGAGCAGTCCTGCTCGGCCCCATCTGAGCGGGAGTTTATCCCTTGTGAAGGTGCTCAAATCCACAGCGGATGTGGCTGGCGGGCATGCGCTTTACAATGCGTACTCTGCAGTGACGGACGAAGGACCCGAGCGCTTCCTCAGCCTGCGGCACACCGTGTTGCTGCACAAGGAGGCCCGCAAGATGTTTGTGCAAGCAAACACCCGCCTGGAAGGTAAGGACACAGGACCCCAGTGGACCCCACAGTTTCAGCCCTTCAGTTGGATTCGCTAGTGAGAGGCAGTGGTCAAGAACGCAGAACTGGGACTCGGGAGCGCCGGATTCGGGTCCCCTCTCAGCCCGACAGGGTGACTTTGCACCAGGCCAACTCTCAGCCCAGCCTACCTCACAGGGTGGTTGTTGTGGGGACATGACAGAGACAGGAGGAGAAGAATGGCTGAGCCACTTTGAGTTTGCTGTGAGAAAAAAGGCAGGATAGGAATCTTGAAATAAATGGGTTGGCACTTCGTTGGCACTGCTCGAAAACTCAAAATGCCAGACTTTTAAATGTGCAGTATTTTGGTAATTTGACAATTACGTATTTATTTATTGCATTTCTGTGCCACACCAATAGCCCCGAAGGATCTCTGGGTGGTTTACAAACATTAGAATCCCAAGTACGAACAATGTGTCTTGACAAGAAAGACACAGATTGATTGATGGATTGCTTAAAAGCTATTATATGGCGTCCTATTATAAAAATATCTCAGGACGGCTTACAGTGCTTTAAAAACAATTTAAAACAACGACAACTTCAAACAGACAAATTAGAACAGTAATAATGTATAAAACAATAAATAGTAAATCACAAAACAAAGCAAGAGCGACTGAACATTAAAAGCTATTGCTTTTGAAAGTTTTGACCTGGTGCCGAGAAGAGTACAAGCTCTTAGTATTTAAAAGGAAACTGGATTTGGGATACTTTGCATTCGAGTCCGCTGAAGAGCCCCTTCAAACCTCGCCCACCCCTTCCCCCTGCCCCATCTCCAGGAGACGACGTCGTACTAATGCAATATGACGGCAGCGCAGCCGGGCTGATCCGGTCTTTCCGGGACCGCTTCCCCGAAGACGCCGAAGCCCTGGAGCAGCACCTGCTGGAACTGGCACGGGCCGACGCGCACTTCTGGGAGAGCTGAGCAGGCGCCCGGCCAGGCCCATGGGCCGCTTCGCTCGGCCTGCTCCCTCCGGCCAGAAATCGGCCCCGCACGTGGGCGAGTCCCACCGGCCTTCCTAGGAGATCAATAAAACTAGCTTTTCTACAGTGGCTCGCACTTTCCTCACTTCGTGCCACTCGACAGGTGGGCAAGCCCAAGGCGGCGTCCCAGGGATGGGGTGAGCCCTTGCAGGCCGAGAGGGGTCCCAGGGAAAGAGGGGGGCCCGGGGGGCGGCGGCATTGCAGGGGGACCTCGTTGCCAGCAGGATGCTGCCGCGCTGGCGTTACGCGGTGCGGCCCCGCGAGCACGTCGCTCCCGCTGCACGGCTGCCAGCGCAGCGCAGCGCAGCGCAGCGCACCTGGGGCGAGCCGGGGCCCCATGTGCCGCCCCCGCCCC